TAATAGATCGGAGATTCCTAGGGATTGGGATAATTTATTTATTTAATGTCCTCTACCATATTCCCATGCCCCTTCAGACTTAAGATAATTCTCATACTCCCCAAATATTTATGGGTTTTGATTATATTTTGAAATATTAACTTATATTTTCTCCTGAATTTCCTCCACCCCTCATTAACTCCCATTCAATATGGAAGCTGGCTCCAAACTTCATTGCCTCAGGGACAGGTTGAGGCCAGGTATGAAGCAGGAGTAGAACAGTGAATGGAGAGAAAGTCTGGTGTGGTAAATGAAGAATGGGATTTCTAGGTATAGACAGACCAACTTGAGTAAGTGGGGAGAGCAGATGATTGTCAGGTCCCTGTTTCACTGCCCCTAACTTCAAAAAAAGATGGGGCTGAGAAATTGAGAGTAGAGAGGTTTCCAAGAGTCTGGTATTGGTGTGGACTCAGATCCTGCCTGGAAGGCAGTAATTCCAAGCAGGTAGAAAACCCTCAAAGAGGAATGGATACAAGGTATATCTAGGCTGACTGCATAGGGACAGTCTATTTTTTTAAGTTATTTTTTATTTTTTATTATTTTATTTTATTTGCCATTTTAGAGAGTGAGAGCAGGCGGGCAGGGGAGAGGGGCAAAGGGAGAGACGGAGAATCTTAAGTGGGCTACACACTGAGCTTGGAGCCCAATGTAGGGCTTGATCCCACAACCCTGGGATCATGACCTAAGCTGAAATCAAGGGTCAGACACTCAATCACCCAGGCTCCCCTGACTAGGGACAGTCTTACAAAAAGCCCCTCCACTCATGGTATCATATTAGGTCCCTGGACGGTGTGAGATGCATTCTTGGGGTAAGTGAGGATGCTAGAAAGATTAAGAATAACACGGCTAACAATAAAAAATTAAGCTGCTTTAATCCATAGGGAACATGCTGTTCTTGCACACCTGAATATGTGAGAATTTATATCTGCTACATTTGTTTAGTTGATTAATCTGTTAATTGTAAATTTGGCAAAATTACTGTCTATCACATCCTAGAAAGGAAAAAAAGTTTATCTCACTATGTTAAAAATGAATTATTATATAATTTTGGATCCTAGCTCCGTCACTAATAGCTGTGTATCTTTGAAAAATGTATTTCACTTTTTAAAAGTTTCAAGTGCATCATATGTTTTAAAAATGGCTAAAATAGGGGCGCCTGGGTGGCTTAGTCGGTTAAGCGTCCGACTTTCGCTTAGGTCATGATCTCGCGGTTCGTGGGTTCGAGCCCCGCGTCGGGCTCTGTGCTGACTGCCAGCTCAGAGCCTGGAGCCTGTTTCAGTCTGTGACTCCTTCTCTCTCTTACCCTCCCCTGCTCACGCTGTCTCTCTCTCTCTCTCTCTCCTAGAAATAAATAAAAAACATTTAAAAAAAATGGCTAAAATATATTATCTACCTTGTTGGGAATGACGTGAAGATAAATGGAGATTAATATCTATAAAGTGCTTTGGGCAAAGAGACTGCAATGATAACTAACATATATTTACAGTATAGACTTTTTTTTAGGACTGAAGAACCTTAATATTCATGGAGGCCAATTAGTAATGATTTTATAATATCAAATATTTACAATAAAAATCCTTTTCCTCCTGTGTATTTATTTTTCTTTCAATAAGTAATTAATATTTTCAAGGAAAATTCAGTAATATTTAAGAATAAATGAACAAAAAGTGTCTTAATTTTTAAAAATCTTGACTAACAAATACTGAAGAGGAAGAACGTTATGCATCAGAGACTTTTTGGACATTAAAAAACCTGTAGATAAGATGAAAACACAAATAAGCTATGAGATACTACATATTATAATTAAATTAAGACTGAACTAAGTTGCATATACTCTCATATTATATGTCCATGCCAGAAAAGTAGTCTTATTTTTCCATGATGAATTTATAACCTATATGTCAATGAAGTCTAAGGTTTTGCTGATAGGTGGAATGCCATATATAATGATGAGGAATACACTAAAAGCAAGAGCAGTAAATGGCAATCTTCTGACTTACTGTATATGTCACTGAGAAGAATGATTATTTCTCACAAGTAGAGGCGAAGTCAGGGACTATTATCGTCCATATTTAAGTGGTTTTGCTCTTTTCTCCCACATCCACCAACTTGATTAAATAATGATTTGGCTCACGAAAGACTTGAGCTTGGTGGTTCCAAGTTCATTGCCAGTCAGGTTTGTAAATGTCTGGTGTGTGTTCAGCTTTAGAGAAGTGCAGAGATAAGCAAAGGCTCCACTAAGTCAGCACCAGACAAAGTTACCCACCCCTTATCCCTACCCTCCCCCTGCACCCAAGGAAATAGCAGTTTCAGTCTTAGGGGCAGCAAGTCACCAGATAGAGAAGGGGAGTGAGTAGGTAGAGTCAGAAGGCTTGAGTGACAACTGTAGATTGGCCTTTAACAGTATGTTTCAGAGCTGCAGGCAAATCCTAACTTGCTGAGGGGGAAGGGGGGGAAGGGCGGTGCTTTAGAAGCTACCCCTTAAGGAAGAATGCTTTGAAATCCTCTCAGACTCTGAGGAAACCCTTTCCTCTCTGAGGAAAATCCAGAGTTTGATGGAAGATCCCAGGAGTTTCACAAGATAATCAAGGGAGACAATTCTCTGGTGGTATTTGATCAGGTCTCCAATGAAAGCCTGGCAGAAAGTATTCAGAGTCACATTTCTGTTCTGGCATTTCAATGAAGAAAGACCAGAGTTTCGTTTTCCAACAGCTGTGATTGTCATCTGGTATTTTAATTTTACTGCTAGTGGGCCAGAGGTAGAACGTTATCTTTTCACCAGGAGGAACAGAAAGTCTTAGAATGGCCTAACATTAAAGAAGCTCAGAAGAGGTATGTGATATTGTGATTTAGAAGAACTATATATTTCGTTCTTCAGGTTACCAAAATATATTTCTCGTATATATTTGATATTCATCCACAGATACTGTCTCAGCTCCCTTTTGCAAATTTCAGAACAGTAAGGGCAATGGGAGCATCTTCTATTATAACATTTGGTCTTTTGTCCTCAGTTCCTGAAAACCCATCAGAGCCATAAAGGTGAAATGGGTGTCTTGTTCCTAACAACCCCCTTTCTACTACAGCAGAGTTTATGTTAATGAGGTGACTTTTGGAAGCACCTGAGGATGGAGGCTGGTTGCCAGAGAACCAGCCATGATTAGAGGGTGGGAGTTTGATTCGATTTGCCAGTGGCTAATGATTTAATCAGCCATGGCTGTGAAATGAAGCCTCTATAAAAGCCCAAAAGAGGAGGGGGTTCAGAGAGTTTCTGGGTTAATGAACACCAGAAGATGAGAAGAGAGTGACATGCCTGAAGAGGGCATGGGAGCTTTGAGCCCCTTCCTGATAACTTTCCATGTGCATCTCTTCCATCTGGCTGTTCCTGAATTATATCCTTCTATTAAAAAGCCCTGTGATCTAGTAAGTAGATGTTTTCCTGAGTTCTGTGAGCTGCTCCTGCAAATTAATTGAACCCAAGGAGGGGGTTATGGGAATCTCTGATGTCTAGCCAATTGGTGAAATGTACAGGTGACCATCTGGGCTTGTGATTAGCATCAAGGGTATGGGACAGGCTTGTGGGACTGAGCCCTTAGCCTGTGGATAGTGTCAAAATTGAATTGATTTGTAAGACACTGCTCTGGTGCCAGAGAATTTCTTGGTGTTGTGTAGGACTCACTCTCCACATACTGGAATTAGTGATAAGAACCCCTTTAAAATGGTTGTCTGAGTGTCTTTTTCTTTTTTAATGTTTGTTTGAGAGAGAGAGACAGAGAGTGAGAAATAGAGAGAGAGAGCGTGAGCATGCAAGCAGAGAAGGGGGAGAGAGAGAGAGACAGAATCTGAGGCAGGCTTCAGGCTTCCAAGTTCCAGGTTCCCAAGGCTCCCAGAGCCCAGTGTGGGGCTCAGACTCACAAACAGTAAGATCATGGCCTGAGCTGAAGTTGGATGCACAACCACTGAGCCACCCAAGTGCCCTTGTTTGAATATCTTTTTAAAGTCTTTTAAATTTACCACCATAAGACACAGTTACTGAACTTACACTGTGTTTACGGTTAGGCGTCAGGGTTCACAATGTTTAAATGTCAGATGTATTTCAGAACTCTAATCTAAATTCCTCTTCTAAGTCAATCTCAGAGAAAGTGGAGAGGGAGAAGGTATCTGTAGGATATCAACATTTTTTCCTGAGAACTGCTCTGTGTCCAGTAGTTTTTATTTTTAACATATTATCTCATGTAATCATTATAAAGTGCCTTCTGTTGGGCATATACCACATTTCCAGATGAAAAAACTGAAACTCAGAGAATTTAAGTTTATTTACTTGTTTTGAGAGAGAATGTGAGCTTGGATGCAGGGGAGGGGCAGAGAGAGAGCAAGAGAGCATGTGCCTGAGAGCAGGGGAGGGGCAGTGGGAGAGAAAGACTACCAAGCTGGCACCTTGCTCTCCCCTAGGAGCCCAACTCAAGTCTTGAGCTCAAGAACCATGAGATCATGACCTGAGTCAAAATCAAGGGTCTGACACTTAACTGACTGAGCCACTCAAGTGCCCCTGAAACTCAGAGAATTTAAATAACGAGCTCAAGGTTCTACAGCCTAGTAAATTGAAGATAAGGAATCTGTAGCCAGAACTCTAATTTCCATAACCATGTCCCTTCCTCCATAACTATTGCCTCAAATAGAACAAGGGAAGGATCTTATGTTATCACATGATAATATAATTTTGGATTTTGGGGTCATTTCTCACTTTAACTCCTTTTATTTCATATTTTGATTAATAAAAATCTTGCCCCATCACTAAAATACTATGATTTGATAAGATAGTGTATTGCTTCTTTTATAACCCAGGCCAGTCCCTATTGATCAGCTATAGATGGTTAGAAGGTACATTCTTTTTTTTTTTATTAAGTTAACCTTAGAATTGATTTCTTAGAAAATACTTACTCACAAAGATTTATAGTGTCTCACCAGCTTTTTCCTGTTCCTTTCATTTGGGAGACCAGGCATTCAAATCCACTTAGGAAAGAACATTTGGTATTACAGCCTTACCTTCATAATGAGGCGTTCTGATACACAGGAAAGTAGATACCTGAAGTAGGTGAGTGTTATAAAATATACAAAAAGAAGTGTACCATATTTATTAAGAACATTTCTAAATGACTCATCTTCATGAGAGTACAAATTTTTTCATTTTTTCTAACTAAATTCCTTAACATATCTTACTAAGTCTAATCTTAGTTCATATATCTGTTTTCTATTATGAAAGAAGTCATTTTATTTTTTTTATTTTTTATTTTTTTTCAAATAGTTTATTGTCAAATCAGTTTCCACATAACACTCAGTGCTCATCCCCGCAAGTGCCCTCCTCCATGCCCATCCCTCCTCCCCCCCACATCCATCAGTCCTCAGTTTTTGTCAGCATTCAAGAGTCTCTCATGGTTTGCCTCTCTCCCTTTCACCCACCATTTCCCCCATTCTTCTCCCCCATGGTCCTCCGTTAAGTTCCTCCTAATCCTCCTATACATGCAAACATATGATATTTGTCCTGAAAGAAGTCATTTTAAAATGACCTATTGCTGATATAGATGATAATGGATAGCTCACCTTTGTCTTTTATAATGAATAACGTACTCTTTTAACAAGTTAATTTCTTATTCCAGGGGTTATGTACAGATATTAATATGGTTTGCAAATAAAGATAACTGCCTTGAGAAACAAAAAAGCAATCCCTGACCTCCAGGAGCTGGTCTGGTACTACAAGTCAGGCCTTGGTGTTCTTCCATTAAATATACACGATTTCATAGAAAATTAGCATCAGACAAGGCCACACTGTGATTATCATGAATCCAGACAAAAACAAGACCACTCTGTAATCCTGTCTGAGCACAGACAAAACATGAACAATGTCCAAGCCACAAAATACCAAATATATTCCTATTTTGACTAATATATGTGATTGTTGATTTTTACCAGTTACAGCTCTACCCTTGGCCCAGTCTCCTATACCTCTAGAGAAGATTTATTAAGGTAGCCACTCACATAGTTAGCCCCATTTCATGACCACATCCTGTCTACTGTTAAGCTCTGCTTCCTTAAACCCACCCCAAAGTCACTTGACAGGAGCCAAATTATTTAAGTCCTTTTTAATACCTTGTAAATGAGACACTCCATGTTCACCATTCGTTTCCTTTGCCAGCAAACCTTCTCCCTCCCTGCAAGGAGTGATAAGACCAAATTGTTTAAAGACAAGTGTGTTCCTATGTTCCTGGTGGTCTTTATGTGGAGGACATTGACCATTTCTTCATACCAACTTTTTTCTTATTTCTTTTTCACATCTTATTGCATGGACCAGATTCTAAAATAACAAGGAATAGTGATAGTGTCAGAAGACATTCCTGTTCAGAGGGGCTAACATGTTTACCATGGTATTACTTGCTTTCCTTTTAGAGCTGGTTCCTTTGTCATATTAAGAATAGTTCTAGGGGCACGTGGGTGGCTTGGTCTGTTGAGTGTCTCTTTTTTGGCTCAGGTCATGATGCCAGGGTTGTAGGATCAAGCCCTGTATTGGGCTCCATGCTGAGTGTGGAGCCTGCTTAAGATTCTCTTTCTTCTTCTGTCCTTCTTCCCTACTTGCACTCTCTCTCCAAAAAGAAAAAAAAAAAGGATAGTTCTGCTTATCTTGACAGTGATACAAAATTTTAATAGTTTTTTGTCTATGAACTCTTCTTTTTTAAAATATTGTAATAGGATATTATTTTGATAGATTTTCCTTCCATGAATTACTAGGATAAATCCTTTTGGGTTGTGGTTAATTGTTCTTTTAATGAATTTCACCTTTAATACATTATGTAATTTATGAATTTTATTCATTTAACAGACATTCTTTTAATATCCACTATATACCAAGCTCTATCTTAACTCCTAGACCTGTTGCAAATTAAGAAGTCATAGGGAGGGATGGGAGTGTGGCTATAAAGAGGTATCCTTTTAACTGAACTGTTCTGTATCTTGACTGCTATGGTGGTCACACAAATCTCCATGTGATAAAATTGTAAGGAACAACACACACACACACACACACACACACACATTAGCACATGTAAAACTGGTTATCTCTGAATCAGGCTGGAAGATTCTAGTGATGTCAGTTTCCTAGTGTGATCTTGTACTCTGGTTATTCAAGTTGTTGCCATTAGAGGAAATTAAGGACGCTCTGTACCATGTCTTATGACTGCATGTGACTCTACTATTATCTTAAAATAAAAAGGTTTTAAAAATTGGTAGTCCCTGACATCATGTAGAATACAATATAATAATAGACATAGATCATAAGAAAAATAACTATATGATAACTACTGTTCCATAGAGGATAAGTATAAGGCGCTGTAAGTGCATACAGTATTGGAATCTAGTCTGTACTGAAAGGTCAAGGAAGGCCTTCCTGAAGATGTAACATTTAAAGTGAAGCCTAAGAATGAGTAGAAATTGGTCAAACAAAAAAGAGGAGAAAAATAGAAGATTGTCACATTTCAGAGAGTGGGGTTTCAGCAAAGAATCATAAGGAAGGTTGACAGAAGACCATGCTAAAGAAAGAGTTTTGGGAAACAAGTCATACTGGACCTTGGAATTATAGTAACTTTATTAGGAGAAAGAGGATCCACTAAAATGCTTTAAGCAAGGCAGTAATTATTCAGCTTTATATTTTTAAACTATTACTTCGACTTACAGGTAGAGAACAGTCTGGTTGGAGAAGATACCTGGAGCTATGCAGAAAAAAGGAAGCTGTCATAGAGTCCAGGTTAGTGATGCAGTTCTTGGAATTGGGTGGGGTGGTGAAGATGGGAATCAGTGAATGGACAGATTTGGTAATGATTTGAATGTGAGCTATTGATGGCATAGATTATACCCAGATTTTGGCATAGGCAATGGAGTGAATGAAGAAGCCATGTTCTCAGGTGGGGAAGATTAGAGGAAGTACAGTTCTGAAGTGGGGTAGGGGTTGGTTTGGTTCATTCTTAAATCTAAGATAAGATGCCAGCAAGAATCCCAGGTGGAGATTTCAAGGAGGCAAGTAGGTGTCTCCAGCTGGAACACAGAAATGGAGATATGGGCCAGAGATAAAAGCTCTAAGTCTTTGGCATCTAGATGATATTTAAAGTCAAGGGGGTAGCTGCAGTCATTAAGGGAGAGAGGGAAGAGAAAGAAGAGGCTCAGATGAAATTCCTGAAGAACTTGAACATTTAAATGTCAAGGAGACTTAGAAGGAGCAGTCAGAGAGGAGTTAGAACCCAAGAGTGATCTTTGGGAAGCATAAGTTAAAGAGTATTTAAGGAATAAATAGTGAACTATGTTAAATCATCTGCTAAGAAGTCAAGTCAGATGACGCATAGAAATGACCACTGGATTTAGGAACATGAAGATCTTTTGTAACTGGGGGGGGAAGAAGGGGGAAAGGAATGTAAATGGAGGCAGGCTTGCTAATTTGGAGGAAGATGAAGGAGCTGTAGGCAGCCAGGTCATACTGACTTTTCTCTACAAAAGTATAGACACTGGGAAAGGAGATTTAAGGAAACAGAGGAAGATGTAAAATAATTGTTGTGAGAGAGAACTAGAGTAAGTAGTGAGCAGACTAGAAAAACAATTCGGCGACTGAGGTATATATTTTTATGTTTAAATAAATAGAAATTATCCAAATTTTCCCTTGGATAAGAAAACTCAGTATTGTAAAGATGTTAATCCTCTTCATATGCATCATTATATTTGATGTAATAATCATAATTTTATTAAAACTACTATTACAGCTCACACTGTGTATCAGACACTGGGTTAAGTGCTCATAAAACTCTAATCAAAGTCACAAGTTCACGGGAATTTGCAAAATGACTGTAAAGTTTGTCTGAAAAATAAACATGCAAGAATAGCAAAGAAAATTCTGGGAAAGAAAATAACAAGTGTGGATTAACCAACTGTAATTGTGGTTTGCAACAATAGAAAGTTCAATGGAAAGAACTCAGAAATAATCACAAGTTTATGACAGGGTGACTTCAATAAAGCTGGGTTTTCCAGAGAGTGGAGGGAAAAAACGGGTTTACAGTGATTGTAAATTGGGGATGCCTAGATAGCCATTTGGAAAATAGTAAAGCTAGATCTCTACATAATTTCTTATCCCCAAGTTAGATAAATGTGAATGTAAAAAAATTTAAATTCTAAAAGAATTAAAACTGTAAATATTTTTACAATGTGCTGAAAAGACTTTTTAAAAATTTTTTAAATATTTATTTAGAGACAGAGTTAGAAAGTGAGCAGGGGAGGGGCGGAGAGAGAGAGAGAATCACAAGTAGGCTCCGCGCTGTCAGGCACGGAACCCAATGTGGAGCCCGAACTCATGAACTGCGAGATCATGACCTGAGCCAAAATCAAGAGTCAGGTGCTTAACAGACTGAGCCACTCAGGCGCCCCATGAAAAGGCCTCTTAAAACATAGAATAATATTCATCCTTGACATGGCAAACACACCCCTACTCAGTGCCAAAAGAAATTGTTAAACTAGGGAAAATATTGTCAATTTTTAGGATGAAAGATTGAGCTCTCGTAGATCAATTACAAAAGTATGAAAAACCCAATTTCGATAAGAAGGGCAAAGGAAATAGCTCAGAGCAAAAGAAATGATTAATAAACATGTGAAGATGCTTATTTTGTCACAAATTTTAAACCACAAAACCCAGAACAACAAAGTGGTATTTTTATCAGATTAATCATGAGTGCCTACTATGTGCCATGTGTTTTTAGTATTTTCCTATCAGTATATCTTCCATAATATTCTTGCAAACATATTTTCCATAATAAATTACCAAATTTTTAATAATATGATCAGTAATTTGAATGGACACAGATGCTTCTAAAGAGCTTGGTAATGCTTCAAATGTGGTATATTTTTCTCAAGTCAAACCCCACAGTCTTGTTTATATGCTTTATTGTGCATTGTATGAAAAAGTGTTAATCTTTCAGAGCAACGTTTTTTAATATGCTCACAGCGCTAAGGTTTCCTCTCCCATTTGAGAATTGACAATATTTCTGAAAGCGTAAAGTTAACATTTGAATGTTAATGGCAAACCAAAGCAGAAACACAACATACTGATTGTTCTTTTATCAGCCAGAGGTGAAAAGAGCACTTAGTGGGGCTAGTACTTCTTTATTTCGTCATCTCTTCATCCTTTCATTCAACAAACATTCATTGAATGTCTACTCTGTGCCAGGCACAGGGGGTAGGCAGTGAAGATATTATAATGCACAAGAGAAAGAGAATATCTACTCTCAGATTTTACCATCTAATTGGGGCTACAGGCAATGGGAACACTGTTGTAAGAGCTTGAATTTGTATTAACTGAAATTTCCCCTTGCCTCCATTCTTTCAATCCGGAAACAGTGTAGTGCTGCCCAGGGTAGCTTCCTTCTGTGACTATACTAGATACTGATTTGTGGGTGATTGAAAAACCTTAAAGTATCTTTCCAAATAATATGTCAAAACTAAATTCAGCCAGGTCATGGGCTTCCTCTAGATTAATAAGGCTAAACGTTTTGGCAGCATAGAGATTTTTCAGATCTAAATGAATCATTAGGAATGAGTAAATCACAGACAAAACGAATGTTCTCTAATTAAGAAGATAAAGATGTATGTTAAGAAGCATCATAAATCTCCAAGTAACCAAAATGTTGTCCATTTGTCTTTGTCAACAAATACTGGAAAGAACCCAAAGAAACAGGCAAACATGCATTCCAAATAGTTTATACTTTTAAAAAAATATTAAGCTAATATGTACTCTTAGAAAAAAAATGCCTCATAGACTAAAGAATTAAAATAGTTTCACAAGTTACTTTATATGGTTTCTAAATTAGATTGAATCATATGAATTGCCCAAATTTGATTTTTTTTTTACCTACAAAATTTGCAATTTCATGTGGCTCACTCTACTGGAATGACATCATTTCAATTCCTAAGAGGATATCTTTGCATAATGAGTAATTTATAGAGTTCTCATTATGAGCCACACTGCATGAAGCCCTATCTGACATCAATCCAAGGTTTTACCTGGGGCCAAGTTATGAGCCTGGAATTAAGGAGGGTCTTTGAACTTGAATAAAAAAAATTCAAAGAAAAATTGTTACTAAACTTTAACTGGAACTTCACATTTCTTTCAAATATAGACATGAGCAGTAAACTTTGATAGCATTACCAGCACATTTTTGTCACCATTGGGATTCAGATATTTTCAAATTTTACTCGATTGTATCGGCTGTCTCAAAATAACATTTATACTTATCACAAACTTAAAATTTCCTGTTGCTATTAAACCTAACTTTAGGTCTTATTATTTAATGCATTTATTACTAATTATAAGTTTGATTTTTAAAATACTTGGATAACTGAATTTTTATTAGTTTGCTTTATAGCATTCTATCTTTTATGTATTTTATATTATTCTGTGGGGCTCCCAGGTGGCTCAGTTGGTTGTGTGTCTGACTTCACTTTGGGTCATGATCTGGTGGTTTGTGAGTTCAAGCCCCGCATCAGGCTTGCTGCTGTCCGTGCAGAACCTGCTTTGGATTTTCTGTCCCCCTCTCTCTGCCTGTCCCCTGCTCACACTCACTCTCAAAAATAAATAAAAACATCTAAAAAAATTTTTAAATATATTATTCTGAGAAAAGTTTCCAAAGGCTTCCACCAGACTGTTAAATGGGTCCATGGCACAAAAAGGTAAGGACTCCTAGTACCATTTTAAGATCTACTTTTTTAGCAATTTTCAAATATACAATATAGTATTATTAATGATCATTACCCATGTTGTACATTACATCCCTGTAACTTATATTTATTTACTGTAGTACAGTTAACATACAGTGTTATATTAGTTTCAGTTTTATAATATAATGATTCAGCAATTCTATATTTTCTCAGTGCTCATCATGGTAGGCATACTTTTAATCCCCTTTATCTATTTCACCTGTCCTGCTACCTATCTTACTCTGAGAACCACCAGTTTGTTCTCTGTATTTAAAAGTCTGGAGTGTTTTTGTTGTTGTTCATCTCTTTTTTCTTTCTTTTGTTTCTTAAATTCCACATATGAGTGAAATTATGTGGTATTTGTCTTTCTCTGACTGACGTATTTTAATTCGCATTATACCCTCTAGATCCATGCATGACTTATTTATTTCACAACTGGAAGTTGGTACCTTTTGACCCCCTTCCATTTTGCTCATCCCTTACCTACCCCCACCACTAGCAACTACCAATCTGTTCTATGTATGAGCTCAATTTTTTTAAGTTTCCACATATGAGATCATTCCGTATTTGTCTTTTTCTGTCCAACTTATTTCATTTACCATAATATCCTCAAGATCCATCCATGTTGCTGCAAATGACAAGATTTCCTTTATTTTTATAGCTGAATAATACTCCATTGTGTGTGTGTGTGTGTGTGTGTGTACACATTTTCTTTATGCATTCATTTATTGATGGACACTTAGGTTGTTTCCATATTGTGGCTATTATAAATAATGCAGGTATCTTTTTGAGTTAGTGTTTTCATTTTCTTTGGATAAATACTCAGAGGTTAAATTGCTGGATGATTTGCTAATTCTATTTTTAATTTTTTGAGGAATCTCCATACGGTTTTCTGCAGTGGCTACACCATTTTGTATTCTCACTAACAGTGATGAGGTTTCCCTTTTCTCCACATCCTTGTCAAACTTGTTACCTCTTGACTTTTGATAATAATCATTCTAACAGATATGAAGTGAT